ATTAGCATTTTTTAAATCCTTTTTTTTGGTTCATATTCTCTCCTAATTAATTTTTCTTCCACCTTGAAAGGTTAGACCATCTCTAGGCTTTGTGAAAGGTACAGTAGAGAGAGGGGAAGGAGAAAGAAGAGAGGGTTGGGAATGACATGGGGAGAAGGAAGATACAGTAAGGCAGCCTCTGAGATTGTCCCCTAGTGATCTCTGCCTTCTGGTATTTATACCTTTGGGTGATCACCTCCCTTTGTGTATGGGCTGGATTTATAGCCTCTCTTCTAACAAGTAGAACATGCAAGGAGTGATGGGATGTCACTTCCAAGATCAGGTTACCAAAAGACTGTGGTTTCCTTCTTGGGCACTTTCTTTCACTCTGCCTTGCCCTCTCTGAAGGAAGCCAGCTGCATATTTTGAACTATGGAGAAGCTCATATGTCAAGGAACTGACATCTCTGGCCACCACTTAACAAGGACCTGAGGTCTCCCAACAGCCCCAAGAGTGAGCCTGAAGGCAGATTGTCCCCCAGTCTAGCTGCAGGATGACTCCAGCCCTGGTTGACAACTTAATTGCAGCCTGTGACACCCTGGGACCCTGAGTTGGAGGTCCCAGCTAAATTGCTCCCAGGTTCCTGACCCACAAAAACTATGAGACAATAAGTTTGCTGTTTTAAATCACTAAGTTTTGGGGTAATTTGTTATGCAGTAACAGATAACTAATACAAGACAGGAAGATATTATGGAGGAGGAGGAAGTAGGACAAGAGAGGAAGGGTTGAGCTGGGGAGCAAGTATCAGCTCAGCTTTTCCTTCAAATACTCAGGCCCCCACACAAACACGCACATACATACGCTGTGCGGCCTGCAGTACCTCCTTGGAGTTCTCCTTATAATCAAACCCTGCTGTGGCACCCAGTCTCTGGGTCACCTCAGTTTTTTCCTTTGGGCTCATGGTGACCAGAAACAGCCTGGTCAACTGAGTGGCAGCTGTGCCCTCAGCCTGGTGCTGGTGTGGAAGAGCCCCGTCTCCCCCTCCCAGTTAGAATACCCTTCCCACAGGGTGAGAAGGTAGAGGGTTGGCTTTAGTGCACTGAGAGTGTGATGAGAGGCAAGCCAAGGGTCCAGTTGGGCCTGGGTCATGGGTGACACAGAGTGCGAGGTACCAGCAAAGGTTTTGGAGCTCAGGGAGTCTTGGTTAGAGCTGAGCTTGTGCAAGATCAATCCAACAGGCAAGGGGAGTGTTGAGTGTCAGAATTGTTCTAAAGGGGCCTCCTGGGACAGAGATAGTCCCCAGGACAGATGTCTGGGCTGCTCTGATCCCTTTTTGTGTAAGATAAATGGAACAAGAGCATCTCCTCCACTGCTTGTGAGGGTCCCGGGCAGAAGGACTGAAGGCCAGTTTCCTCCTCTCTGGGGATGGGGACAAGCAGTTGAACAGCTCTGAGAACCTTGGTTCTCTATCACGTTGGTCATAAAAACTGTCCTTGGTTATCCCCATGGGTCTTGGTCAGCACTGGGACTAGCAGTCAGGGTGTGTCAGGGTAATGGTGAGGAGCTCAGAGTTGAGGGGTAGTGCAGTTGGAGGCTTGAGTTGGGGTCAGCAGCTACGTTCAGGCGACAGGGCAGGGCTAGCAGGAGGTAGTCTCCAGGGGGCGGGGGGCCTCCTCACCCATGCAGTGCAGCAGCGGGAAGGCAGGAGCCAGGCCTCTGAGGTGGCTGCAGCCTGAGACAGGGTCAGTCCTGCTGGAGATGGGCATGAAGGCCCTTCAGGGACAGTGACATACTGAGCCTGGCCCCTGTCAGACAGCAGAACCGTGACTGGATCCCCAATCTTCCAGTGCCCCTGGCAGCCGGGCCCCAGCTCTGTTATGTGTCCAGATGTCCCAAAATGTTGCTGGTTTCTCAGGGCAGGGCATACTGGCCTTGTCTCTGCAGAAAAAGGGGCACACAGGTAAGTGGGTTTGAGGAGAAGGGTCCAGGTGTCTGCTCTCCTTGTTGCTGGAAAAAGTTGGCAACAAATTTGCTCAAAACCTACTTTTTGCTTTCTAGGATGGGAGAAAATTCAGATAGCCTCTCCAAGCAACTGTCATTTGAGAAACAGCTGCTATTCCACATATCTTTTCAGAGATGGTCACTTAAAATAGCTGCTCCAGGTACCCCCAGTCACTCAGGCTGTCAGTGCTGTGGGATGGCAGGGGTCAGTGAGTCGGAGGAGAGGGGGGACAGGGCTGGTGAGGTTTGAGACTGAGAAATGGGGAAGGGGACACTTCTGCTATTTCAGCCCTGTTTCTCCGACTCTGGCTTAGCTTCCACAAAAGGGTGGGCTCTCACAGGTCTTTTCTGGCCTGACGCTGGATCTTGCAGAAAGGGACGATGGGCAGACTGCCTCTCTGATTTCCTCCTACCTGGTGAAGGGTGTTGGCTTGGCTGTGGACGGCATGAATCCAGACCACAGCTTGCTAGAGACTGAGCTCAGTTGTCCCTGCCTGGTGGTTTCACGGGCTTTGCTGCTTGACACAGCCCAGGACCTGGATCAGAAGAAGGTCCAAACAGAGGGACCTGTAACCCTCTGCTCTCACACTGGCTTGAGGGCACTTGGTCTTCTGCACAGATCAATCCCCTCTTTCTTGAGAGCCAGCTGTCTAGACCTTGGGGCCAGAACTTGAATCTGAGTTCGAATTCTGTCCTTGCCATTTATTCCATCATACAACTAATATTTACTTCATGCTTACTAGATGTCAGGCCCTGTCCTGGGCAAAGCAGATTGCCTCTGTCCTGGTGGAATTTACAGTCCAGTGCGGAAGACAGATTTTAAAAAAGTAAACAGATACACAATTACAAATTGGAGAAAGGTCTGTGCACAACAGCAGCAGGCCGCTAGGAAAGAGACTAGCAGGAGGAAATATTTTAGAGTGTAGTCAGAAAACCTTTCTGAAGAGGTGACATTTGAGCTGAGACACGAACAAGAAGGAGCCAGACATAAAAAGAATGGCTGAAGAGCACCCCAGGGGGCAGGGAAGGCTAATCGAAGGATCTGAGGCAGGGAAGGGTTTGAAGCGTTTGAAGAATTCAGCAAGACTGGAGGGTGGTGAGCAGACACAAGAGGGGATCCGACCCAAGTGGTTGAGGTGTCATTACCCCACCTGCAGGGCCCTGTCAGGGGGAGGCAGTTTCCATCTTATCCTAAGTGCAGTGGTCTCATGAAGAATGGACTGCAGGGGGCAGTGCAAGCACTGGGTAAGATGGCTTGGGCTTGGATGGCATCTAGATGAGGAGGAGACAATTTTGAGTTCTATTGTGGGAAGCTAGACTCCGAAGTGCATGCTGATGACATGGATACAGGGATGGAGAGAAAAAGGGAATTTATTCCAAGTTTCTGGCTTGAGCAGTTGATTGGCTATTCTTCTCACTTTCCTCATCCCTGAAATGAAGACAAAAATACCCATCACCTTGGGTCCTTGTGAAGGTTAAATTAAAGAATCCACTTAGCTAGCATGTGCCAGGCACAAAGAGAGGGCACTCAACACAGGGCAGGTTCTTTGCTCACTGATGGATATGCCAACTCCGCTTAGTGAGGAAAGCCCGTGGCTGCTGGCATCCCTCTCCCGAGTCTGAGATGGATGCTGTAAACCCAAGCCCCACATCCAGCCATCCATGGCCCAGCTCCCCACAGCTCCTTTCAGTAACTGGAACTGGCTGCAGGTCAGTTCCAGATTCGAGCAGCTTCCTCACCCACTCAGGGACTGAGTCCCAGCAGTAAGTCTGTAAGGTGTCAAGATCCAAATTTTGGGATTGAGTAGTAATTTTCAGGTGACTGGTTGCTGTGGCAGTATTCCACAGTACCCTACATCTCTGGCCTCTAAACGGTTCCCCAGAGGCTTACATTTTAGCAGAACAAACAAGGTCTGTGTTAGGAATGGGGCAGAAGCACTCCTGATGATCTGAAACCCAACTGATCGGAGGGTGCATTTGCTGCTCTGACCCTGAAAGTTAAATGGGGTTGGGGGAATATCTCTCCCAAATGTTCAGCGGGTTTCCAGCCCTTCGAAAGGGTTCTTCCCAGTGCTCCTGAGTCACCTTCAGGCAGCAGCTTCTCTGATGATCAAGCCCAAGCTTGGGTGGCCCAGCAGCTTGGTGAATGACTCATGGTACTAGAATAGCATAAGGGCTGACACTTCCCTGGAGGAGCTGGGCCAGTTCACCTCGGGGTACCATGCCTGCAGGACTCTCTCTG